AGATAAAATCTATGCAAAGAGGGGTCCATCCATCCATCCATCCATCCATCCATCCATCCATCCATCCATCCAAGGGTTTAAACACTAATATTGGCCTGATCTGCCATTCCTGACTTTTTGGTTCTTTTATTCTTTTTCTGTTTTTCATTTTCTTGATTAATGCTTCTATAACATCTATATCTCCATTAAATTTGCAAGAAACCATCTCTGCAAAAATTTGCAGAGACGGAAGTTTTGCTCCTCTTCAAAACTCCACAGAATCTGACAGAAAACGCATCAAATTGTTCAACAATAGCATGGTTAGAAGCTTTCAAGCTGTATGCTTCAAAATTGTACTCCTCATTTATCTAATGTAGGATAAAGATTCAGCATTAATATTTGGGCAGTGCATCACATGACATGAAAGCCAATAGTTTTATATATCTGGTTTGGTTCAGATATTTACTAAAACGTCCCAAACTCAGGAGAACCACCATATATGGGAGGATTGAGCAGCGACTCAAACTGGTACAGCTCAGTGATACTGGTACCAGACGGAGGAATCTGCAAAGTTTCCTTTGGGTTGATATGTTGCCATGTGTGTATTGCTGTGATCTGCCAGTGAGCCACTGTGGATCACAGTCTATCTGTTCCCAGCCCTCAGGCCAACACCTTCCACACTCACCCTCAGCTGCAGCATTTACATTTATCTATGGCTGACAGTATGGATCTGAAGTAACACAAGTTCCACTTTAAGACACTTTATGGAGTTAATCAAACCACATGATCGATTAAACCGTTTTCCTTCTCGGTAGCTGCAACCTGAACAACCTTTAAGTCTCTGCCATGACCATATAGCAACTGCTCCTCCCATAAAAACGAGTCAGGAAATAAAACATGTCCTCACAAGATGAGGAACATCTGGACCACACACACCGACTGGCTCTTTGTGTGCTCACCTTGGGTTAACAGTTTAACCTGTTCGTAGCCATGGTAGCAGATGAGGGGGGGGGTCAGTCGGCTGAACCAGACCACCAAAAAAAAACCCCATCCTGTTCCTGTGAATAATTTAAACACAGTTTAGCCACAGAGTCAGGGATGATGTCACTGAGGGAGACTCCTTTAGTAGAAACTTCACAGCTCTGGATTTTAACAGCAAACATCTTAAAAGCAGCGCTAAAATTACCCAAAACAGAAGAACCTGCAAATAAAAGGCCAGATTCACTGGAAATGTTCATTTTCACTGCGAGAGCTTTCAGGCAGCGCAGCTATGAATCCCTGAATTAAAAATCTGATCTGTTGCATAACCCAGAATCATTTCAGCCGACAGTGTTTTTAGAAAGGAGCAGAACCAGTTAAGCTCTTTCAGGAGTTTTATTCAGGAGTTTTACTTTGAAAGTTGGTGTCTTCACCAGCTGATCATGCTGAGATGCTGAAACCCTCGGTTCTCAGCGGACATGATGCTGAAGATGACTGCATCTTCACTTCCATCCTTCCTGCTTCACCCAAACTGCTCCTTTAGGTCAGCTCTGTCTCCATGATGAATCTATAAAAGCTTCTCTCATCCGATCGTACCTTCCCTCTCAGCCTGATGGAACCTTGTTCAGATGATGTGTCGCCTTTTCTCTTCCCAGCTGATTTCATTCAGCCCCTCCAGAGGCGGTTCAGCTGTCCTTTTATTGTCCGGTCTGGATTTTCCAGACGGCTGCTTGTGTTTTCTTTACTGATGCTCTGATGTCTTCCTCGCTCTGCTGGATGCTCCCATTTTCCAGCCTAAGTTAGACGTAGCTGGGTGGGAAACTCCAGCCTGTGGATTGAACTCCTCGCTCCTTCATGCTGCTCCTTTAGCTTCATCAGCTCTTTCCCACTAACACAGTTAGTCTGATGATGCTATTTCTATCAGGAAGCGTAAATTAGTCTCAGCATTATAAGTTATTTCAGGTTCCTGTAATGAAGCCAGAAACTTCAGCTGTTTAATTAATGAGAAAATCTGTGGAATTTCATTTGTGGATCGTTTCTCCTGCAGGAGGCAAAAGCTTTGGTTTTGTTTTTAACCTTCAGAGCATATCTGGGATTTCTGGATCTGGAATCAAATTGAAATCATTGTAGGTTGATTTCACACAGCTGCGGCTCATTTCTTTAACAACACGTAGAACATTGTGTTCCAGCACAGATGAAAAGCAGAAAAAAAGAAATGTTCTGCTTTTTTTCTACTTGATTTAATAATCAAATCTAATTATTGAATGAAACACCTGAAGCCAATTAATCAGAGATTCTAGTAAATGAGAGCAAGGATGAGCTGAGCGCCTGGTGTCGTTTATCGTTAGTGTAGCAGGAGAAGTTTAAACTGTGAGTCGCTGGTAGGTGTGTGTGTTTGGGGGGGGGGATTTGCACGCTCACCTGTCCAGGCTGAGGGAGGATCGACAGGTCCCTGTGGGATACAGGTGCTTCAGGTCTCGGATCAGAGCATCTCCGGTCGACCTCTGGTTCCACCTCTGAGCCAAGCGTGAGATCTTACTGTCCGACCTGAGCAGAGAAAGAAGAGAAGAAGCAGCGATCAAACGGCGTCAGAGTGATGGAAAACGGGTCGTTCCGATTCCCACAGCTTCCATCCTCCTCACACAGAAGGGAAGAAGTTTTCCACCAGGACAGAAATCACCATCAGAGACTCTGAAGCAGGAATCCTGCTTTCAACAAGTGTCTTTGTGAAACAGGTGCAGCTTCAGCTTCTGCAGTAATAAACACCAGAATGACAGCTTTGGATCTTCCGGTTCCTCTGAGGGTCCGGCTCCAGCTCATGAGTTTAACACAGACTCTTTGATTCCAGCTTAAATCCTCTCCAACTTCCTCAGGGCTCCTATACTCACAGTAGGAACCAGCAGGAACACCGGCAGGGGGTTTATGGCAGCGTTCCAGGCGCCTGCGCCGGGTTAAACCTCTCCAAACGAGGCACCCTGGCCGGTTCCCCGATGCTCCGGATCATCTCTGCAGGAAGAGAGGGACCTCTGGCAGGTCCAGGGTAGAAACGACTGCATCTATCTGCTCCGTACTTTGGAGCTCGGGCTGAAACACCTGTTCACCGGCGAGCGCATCGGCACGCACACACACTCTCACACACTCGGACACACACAGGGAGCCGAGAGAGATGGAGGAGGGGCGGCGGAGTGAGAAGGCTGCGAACAAAAGGGGGCAGAGAGAGGGGAGGCGAGATCAGCGATGCTCCAGTGGAGGGAGAGGATGCTGCAGCAGCAGAGACACATGAGGGAAAAACAGAAGCAGCTCGAAGCAGCAGAAACACTGAAAACCAGGGGCGGTTCTAGACAGGGGCCAACGGGGGCCAGTGTCCCTGTAGTTCCTGTTATAAAGACATAAAACTTAAAGAAATTCTACTGATGATCTGAGCTGGAACAGACCGGTTACTGATTCATCCTCTGCATCTATTTCAGTTATTTTCTTTACAAATTCTGTTTAAATACTAATTATTTAAAAACATTAAGATGATAGCTTCAGTGGGAATGAGATAAGATCCCAGTTTTCATCGCTAAATGTTTAAAAAATATATTTTTTTACGGCTGAATTTATCTAATTCATATTTTATAGAACACAGTAATTTTATCCTAAATGTCAAAAATCTTAAATCTCAAAAATATGTAAAATTCCTAAATTATAAATTTGTATATTGACCTAATTAGACATAGAATTTTAGTTAAACCTAATTGATTAGAATTTAATCTTTTCTGCTACCCTATCAAAACATGCCGGCCCCCCCTGCTGGCCCCCTCTTGGCCATTTGGTCTAGAACCGCCACTGCTGAAAGCTCAGAGGCTTGAAGTGAGTTTGGTTCTTTTCACTCTTCTCTTTTTTCTGTCAGTATCGACCCCAAAGGTCCAAACCTTCGAACAATAAAATGAAAGTTGATGAAGGAAATCCCACAGATCGGTTTTTTCACAAAATCTTTGAAAATCAGAAGTTAAATCTCTGATCCAGGAAAGTTCCTGAGTAAATTCTCATTCATCCAGGGAACCAGGTTTCCACTCAGCCGATTATGATAAACATGGCTGATTATACTGCATGAAAAAATAACTAAAAATCGTATCACTTTTCAGCATTTTTCCCGCAGACAGAAACAGGTTTGGATGAAGATTCAGGAGATAAATCTGAACAGAGGAGCAGCGTGGAGCCGTCCTGCTCCGACCTCTCAGCCTTCCTGGGAATGTTTGTTCTGAAGTTCTTTGGGAAAGAAGAACCAGTAGAACCTGCGTTCATATGAATTACTACTGGAGCTCTGAGGTCTCAGTCTTACTGCAGACATGAAGTCCTCAACCAGAGTCGGACATTTCCTGAACGTAACGGAAAACATCTGATTTCACTGAATATTGCATCAAAGTGTCGCTAAACAACATTTTAGCTCAGGAGCTCCAACAGGCTTCTCTGTTTCTTTTATTTATCACCATATTATGGAAGCCCGTTTCCACCACTCTGTTAAAAATAAATAAATAAATTATCTCATTATTTTGAGTTGCTATCTCCAAATAATGAGATAGCATCTCCAGAATGGTAATAGCAAACCAAGTGGACATTGTGCTGTTGGACAGAAAGCTGAGGAAGATCCAAAGAATATCACTAAATGTCTGAACCTAGTTTTCACTTTCTGAATATTTAGGAATAAATTTAGACATCAGGGATTGGAACGAAAATATAATCAGAAGAATTCAAGATAAATGTGTTTCTGTTCTGAAAATGGCTTTTTCATTAAAATAAATGCGGTTTAGCTCTCTTAATGCAGCAAAAATAATCTTAGATAACCATAAAACTTACAGTAGTTTTAGACATGAGGAAAGATACTATGCTGCAAAGTTAAAGAAGAGAATATATTTGTCTGGAAATCAAATGTTTTATTTATAAAATCAATAATAAAAGTTCTTTATGAAGGCAGGAAATTAACCGAAAACTAATCATGAATCATGATGAATGAGAGTAAAACAAAGGAACAAAAAAACGTCGTTCCAACAGAGATGGATGAAGATCAAATAAAGAGACAACCTTAGAAAATAAGTTAGAAATAGATTTATGATGTTAAAGATAATCCAGCCAAACAGTGAAAGAGAACAGGGCCTGTTCTCAGCTTTGGGCCCCTGACTGACTGAGTCCATCTGTGGAGTAAAAGCATTGGTTTGCATGTTCCTCCAGCTCTAAAGCTGAAAGATTGACGAAGTGACAGAAGGTCAGTTAACGGCCGCTTTGAGCTGGACATTTAGCTGGACCAGAACCCTGCAGGCAGCTTTAACTTCCCTCACAGGTAGGCCAGGTTGGGTAGAGGGGGGCTGGATGTTTGGGTTTATGGGGTCCCCCTTAAAGGGGTCAACCCATCCTCCTCCAGGGTCTGGAAACGGCTGCCCTTTGTCCCCGTTTATGAGTCCAGTCCAGACAAAGGCCTGGAAGCTGGACGGCAGCCTGTCCTTCTTATCGGCTGCTGCACCTGCTTCATGTGAGGGAAGAAGGAAGCAGGACCGTCCTTTGGCCTTAGATGGGGGGCTAACAGAGGTAGCAGCAGGAGAAGCAAAGTGGAAAATGGTTTAATCATGTAAGTCCTTCATAAATGAAGGACTTAACGCCCACAGACATGGGATTTAAAGGAAAAGTCGCTCATATTCAGAATCCAAACTTCTGAAAGTCCTTTGAATATGAAATTATTACAAACTGTTTAAATAATGTTAAATGTTTTTAATTTTAGTAATTTCCATGTGAATGTGCTTTACTGGAGGCATCCATGTTTGTCAA